GTTAAAAAAAGAGACTTTTCCATTTGATTTTTGTATGATGGATTATGCAGAAAAAGTAGAATTGGGCTGAAAGATCTATCGCTTTATCACCTATTCAGGTTGTACATCGTGTTTTTAAAAAGTAACTAAGTAACTAAGTAATTAATTACTTTTTAATTACTTTTGAAAATAAGTAATCAATAACGTAATGGGATTACTTTTTTGGGGAAGTAATCAGTAATTAGTTACTGATTACTTTTTTCAAGTAACTTGACCAACACTGCTCCTCTGTATATCATTGATATAAAAGATTGCTAAAAATGCCACCCTTCTCTTTGGGAATTGACGAATCTATCGATGTTTCAAAGATAACAAAGAGTATAAGCCTAACATAAAACATAAAAATGGCTTCCGCAGCAGTGAGAACAGCTGAACACTTCAGTTCACGTACTTCCTGTTCACACCAGCCACATTTGGCTCCAGCCTGGATGCATTCCCCACAGTGTTTGGCATTGGCACTGATGCACTCGTTCCCCTCTAGATGGAAAACAAAGAGAGACGAGAGAGCAGAGTCAGAGGGAGGAGAGGTATAGCGCAGTCGCTGCAAAATAAGCAGTCCTGTTAAGCCCCCGCCTGCGCGCTTACAAATCGGTTCCTCTGCAACACTCTGCGTCTCAATGGTAATGGGAGACAGAGACGGATAATTCCATTTTTTCCATTATCCTCTATGCCCTGATGCTGAAGTGGAGCTCTGCTCAGCGACATCATTAACCCTCCCTCGCCACAGTGGGACTCATCCAAATGAACTGCATGTTTACTATACGAGCTGACATCAACAAAGTGATGTAATTGGGAAAAATGAAGGATGCTACGGAAATATCAAGAGGAAAATCTTACCTTTCTGAGGATTACAGTAGCAAAAGACTCCTAACAACAGAGATATCAAGATCACCTTCAGGTCCATCTGAAAAACACACAAGGGGAAAAAATATATACATCAAGGTGTTCTGGTCTTGACATAAACAGAGCGACTGCTGTTTTGAAAAGCACAATGCCATTTTGACTGTGCCTTTATTTACAATAACAGGATCTGGTGTGCTTGGTGGCCTGAGTGTCTGAATTAATAATATCCACGGATAAAAAGGTCCACAAGAGTGAGAACAAGTGTCCAAGAGATGACAGATTAAACCTGCAAATAGCTTGGTTATAATTGGAGGTAATAAATTATCCCGTTATAGCGTGCTTGGCTATTCTCAGATGGTCATAGGGTAACAGGGCGCTCATTTAAATCAAACCACTTTCACTCACGCACGCACACGCACACAAGATTACATCAACTCATCCTTAGCTTGGACTGTACCTATTATTTTTTTCTCTCCCACATTTCCTTTTACTGTAAATAGCATCAGCTTCCTAGAGTCATCCCCTCTGTCGTCGTGTACATTGATCCCTGTCTGACTGCAGGCCATTTGGTCAGCCTGGCTAGTTGCTGTGTGGACATATTTTATCACAGATAGCTCAAAGCTGCTAAAATGCTCAACAACTTATTTTAGCAACAAATATGCTAATGCACAAATAAGTAGGCACGAGCTCATAGCCTAGCTAAAACAGCTGAGTTCGAGTTTACAGGCTTTATTTTCATGTATTTTACGTTTTATGTTCTTTTTTACTGTTTTCACAGTGTTTCATTTTTATGTCTCTGTGTCACTATAAATTCTGCATAACCGATGATTATATTAAGATATAGTTAATGCTGGCATTCTTTAAGATTCGCAGCACCTCTTACTGGCAGACCTACTCAGCCGCAGCTGAGAAAGCTCCTCCACAGAACTGCCAACCAACCACCAGCCAGCAAAGGATCAGATCATGTTGAAGCTAAAACATGTGGAAGGTATACCCAACACTCCATCTGACCATAAA